ACGTGTACACATTGGTGGGGAGCCTTCTGAGTTCTGGTTTCTTCAGCACCATCTGCCATAAATGTTTGTTACATCTTGTGCTATATAGTATTAATGAACTCAAAAAGTCTTGCCCTGAATATGTGTAACTACTTCTCATTCAAAATACTAAGCTAGCAAGACAACTGTCTGTGCTCTTCAAAAACGTCCTTGTCATAAGGTGCAGAAAAGAACCAGGAATTGTTCCTCATTAAAGACTACGGGCAACTAAAATGTCTTGGGACAGGGTCTTGGGATCAGGGGTGGAGGTAAGGGATGGACATTAAAAGTGTTACTGATACGAAACATTGCTAGAACAACTGGCAGACTTTAAATGTAGGCTGTGAGTTAGATGATAGTATGGCATCAGTGTTAAATTGCTAAAATTTGATCAGTGCACTGCAGTTACAGAAGGGAATGTCTTTATTTTAAAAATACATGCTAAAATATTGGGATGTAAGGGGCATGACATATGCAATTTACTCTGAAATGTTTCAGAAAAAATATTATAGACAGATATGAAGCATCTGTGGCCAAATGTTAACAATGGGTGAAACTAAATAAGGGTATACAAAAGTCATTTGTATTATTCTTGCCACTCTTCCACACTGTAAGTTTAAGAATAAACTGTTTCCATGAATGTAATATGGTGAAACATCTTAGCATTGTCTGTTTACTTTTCAGTTAACTAGATAATTCTACGTGACACGAAAATAAATTGTGCCTGGCTTACTGTTGTATTCACATGCCCATCAGCAGATCCTCGGTAGTGTGGAATACAGAAGAAGTGATAAAGATGCTACCACAGCCTTGATGTCTTTCCTTTGGAACCACAGCAGCATTACTTACCCAGGAATCTGTTGAGGAGTCTCTTCTGAGCAAGCCCTGTCAATCATTTTGTGACAGCGTCCAGCCTCATTGACCAGATGGCCTTGGTACCTGAGAACCAAGTGAGAAACACTTCCCTACTGACTGACAGACATGCCTGCATTTCAGACGATGCTGTCTCTGAAGACTACTGAATGTGTTGTAAAAACCAATAATCACATCCCCATCAAATATTCACAATTCAGAACCCCTACATCTTTGTAGTGCCCCACTGTCTCCTTTCAGATATCATCAGTCATCCCTTGAAATCAGAGAACACTTACTGAGAACATTCTTGTTAAATGAATGAAAACAAAGACAGGTATCTTTGATACTAGATTCTCTGGATCTGAAACTTCTTAGAATGCATTTGTGTTTAAGAATAAACTGTTTCCATGAATGTAATATGGTGAAACATCTTAGCATTGTCTGTTTACTTTTCAGTTAACTAGATAATTCTACGTGACACGAAAATAAATTGTGCCTGGCTTACTGTTGTATTCACATGCCCATCAGTAGATCCTCAGTTGTGTGGAATACAGAAGAAGTGATAAAGATGCTACCACAGCCTTGACGTCTTTCCTTTGGAACCACAGCAGCATTACTTACCCAGGAATCTGTTGAGGAGTCTCTTCTGAGCAAGCCCTGTCAATCATTTCATGACAGCGTCCAGCCTCATTGACCAGATGGCCTTGGTACCCGAGAACCAAGTGAGAAACACTTCCCTACTGACTGACAGACATGCCTGCATTTCAGACGATGCTGTCTCTGAAGACTATTGAATGTGTTGTAAAAACCAATAATCACATCCATCAAATATTCACAATCAGAACCCCTACATCTTTGTAGTGCCCCACTGTCTCCTTTCAGATATCATCAGTCATCCCTTGAAATCAGAGAACACTTACTGAGAACATTCTTGTTAAATGAATGAAAACAAAGACAGGTATCTTTGATACTAGATTCTCTGGATCTGAAACTTCTTAGAATGCATTTGGTAGATAACTGACTATCCTAAACTTTAATGACACTGGACTGAAAAATAAATCCTTGGGATTAAAAAAGCAAGAGGGAAAAAAAAAGCATACAGTCATGAACTATATGAAGATAGAACTGTATAAGTCCATCAGCCAAGTTGATTTCAGTATCGTTTGAGGAGATAGCAGCATAGAGAAGAACAACATGGGTTTCAGATGTCAACTAGATTTTGGTTCAAATTCCAGCACCTCCTTAACAACCTCTGTGTGAATTAAGGTAAGTAACGTAATTTCTTTCGGGACCAGTTCCATTAGCTAAATAATAGAGATAATAATACCTTCCTTATGTTATAATGTTGCTGTGAAGACCCATCAGTGCCAACTCCCATGGAAGTCTTGGCTCTGTAAATGGCAGCTCTTATTATCTTCAGCAAGAGGGTGTAGGGGCCGCATCTGAGAGGGGATTTTACTCACGTTTCTTCCACTGACACAGAGCCCCCTAAAGGCCTGGTGACCACAAATGAAGCCTTAACTCGAAGACAGTGGAGTCTTTGAAAGGAACAGAATTAAAGTAGGGTCTGTCCTTTCATGATGGGGTACAAAGACGCTATTAGTCAATTCAGCAAATATGTCCTCTGCAAATCAGCTCAAGGCATTCGGAGAGATGACTTTGAAGCAGCATGCTGATGAGGTCCAAAGGGGAGCTGAAAACTTACAAGTGTTTCTACCTGGGCCACACCATCTAGGAAATAACCCAGAAGTGTGTAAGGAATCAATTACTGCCCTCCTAGAGTTGATCTCAGCTGTCTATATATGGTTATAGATTTCTCAGACCTGTTTCAAATGAATTTTCAGAAAGCCTGTGAGCATTGCAAGTTTTGGAGCATCTAAAGAAGGGTTGCTCTCTAGGCTGTGTGCATTATTAGAGGGATGGTGAAGGATCAGGCATCTCATAATATTCCATTGGTTCAAATCGTCTTTCAGTGTTTAAATTTATGTTTATTTATGACTGTGTCAGTAAGTTGTGGCACATGGATTCTTCATTGCGGTGCGGGGGCTTCTCTCTACTTGTGGCATGTGGATTCTGCAGTTTGTGGCACTTGGACTTAGATGCCCCATGGCATGTGGGATCTCAGTTCCCCAACCAGGGATTGAACCCACATCCCCTGCATTGGAAGGTAGATTCTTAACTCCTGGACCACAAGGGAAGGCCCTCTGACAATATTTAGTACATTTCTCTTTTACTGGGGAAGAGAGCATCGTTGCAGGTTACATGGCTTTGGATTTAAACAGGTGGGCTTGGGTTTTAAATTCTGATTCTGCCGTATATGGACCATGTGAATTTGGGGAAGTTACTTAATTTCCCAGCGCTCAGTGTCCCCGTCAACAAACAGGAATATCCACTTTGCTGTTTTGCTGCAAGGCTTCAGTGAGCTCACACATGCCAAAGGTCCCTGCGCAGTGGTCACTCAATACGTCTCAGCTCTCCTGGACACTGAGCATTATGGGGGTGAGTGAGACAGTCCTTTCCTTCCTCCCAGCTGATGAGGCTTCAGTGAGCTCATAGATGCCAAAGGTCCCTGCGCAGTGGTCACTCAATACGTCTCAGCTCTCCTGGACACTGAGCATTATGGGGGTGAGTGAGACAGTCCTTTCCTTCCTCCCAGCTGAGAGCCAAGCCGGCATTGGCTTATTGAAGAATGAAAACGTCAGTGTGCCCCATCTGTAAGCTTGTTTTACCCTAGGAAACTGACACGAAGGAATCGACATCTGCAATTGCTTCTGCCCAAGTGGCTGCAGCTCCCCACACAGGAGCTGGGGCGGGCGATGGGCTGCTGCTCTCAACGTAAGTTCTGGGAATTCACGCCGGTGCTCTACAGACTTCAGGCTCCACTGGGTTGGCAGTCTCTGTGTTGAACTTGGGCATCAGCCAACATCTGAGCTCTAGCCTTAAGTGAGATTGGCTTCAGAGCCCCTGTCTTGGGGGAAAATAGGATTTTTCTCTTATTGGTATGGAGTGTCAGATTCTGGCTTTAATAAATTCAGTGTATGTGAAGCAATACCATCCCCCAATTTATACCTATTGTGTCTAAGTAATTAGCACCTTCTTTCATTCTCAGAGGTGACCCACTTCAGATAACAAATTATGTAGACATAACCATACTCACAGAAATGCAAGTGAAAGCAAGGTGGCTGGGCATGATTCAAGGGCCATGAAAAATGAAAAAAATAAGTTTTAGGGAATTAAAATTTGATTTTCAACACTGAGGAATTAGAGCTACCAGCATATGAAAGTTTGAGAGAAAGAGACTCTGTGTGTGTGTGTGTGTGTGTGTGTGTGTGTTAGGGGAAGGGAAAAGGTGGTGTGTCAGTAGATGTTTAACCACCAGCTCCCAGGGTGTTGGTGCCCCGATTTGTGGTGTTTCCTGATTTCCATGGTGTAAATACTACGATCATGGATGGTTTCATGCTACAGATGTGATGTTACTGAACACAGGAGTAAGAAAGAGACGTGCACAGTAAGTTCTCGTGAGCTGGCATGAGCTGGCTCCCACGCACCAACGGAAAATGGGGATTTAACATGAACTCTGAATACTTCTGTGATGTTTCACTTTTTACAATATTCATGTATAACTTTCATAATAACAGATCCTGCATGTATGTAATATATGTACATGATATATATATACACACAAACACACACTCATGAGACATAAATACACACACGAACTTATATATTGGGTTGGGTAAAAAAATTTGTTCGGGTTTTTCTATAAGATTGTACCAAAAACCTGAACAATTTTTTTGGTCAACCCAACATATCTGTGTGAGGGTTGGTCCTAACAGTCTTCCTAAAGTTTTTAGTAAATTTGAGTGAATGCACTTGAGTGTCTAATACACTGAGGGGCTCTCATAAATCCAGCTGCCGCAGGGTTTCATAATTTCATAATTGTCATAAACTGCCATGATTTACCTTGCTAGCCCACATCTGGTACCTAAAACACCTGGCTTCCATGTTGTGATGGAAGCTAAATGGACAGTGGGAAACTGCTTTGAGGACGCGAGTGTGAAATGAGATCTAACCTCAGGTAGGGAGAAAAAGAAGTTCAAGTTCAAATGATGAGCGAACACAACGGGAGGACAGAAGTGTAAAGTTGCTGTTTATCGACTTTGCTCTCTACACTGAAGTGTTTCTGGCAGGTCCTTAGGAGAGTGGAAGGGGAGTGAGGAAGAAACAGTCTGTACTTTCATTTATTGATGCAGCGCCTGCTGGTCACACTGCAACTCAATACAGACAGCCCGGCAGAGAGAGGGGCCCTGACTCTTGTTCTCATCAATGTAAACACAACATTAATATTGAAGATTCAAGAAAATGGGTAAAAAGTCCAGTGTCCCGTCAGTCTGTGTGATGGTGAAGGTGCTGGCCTACCCTTGGATGGGTCCCCAAGGGAGCCTGAGGTCATGACCTTGGCCCAGCCGCAGCAGAGCAGACATGAATACAGAGGAGCCCCGTACATTCTTCCCAAAGTTCTCCCAACGGGCTCATGAATCTTCAGGACTGAATAATGAAGGTTCTTCTAAAGGCCTGAGAGGTTCGTACCCTTCATGTGCACAGAAACCATCCATTTAAAGCCGTGTCCCCATGACTCATCACTGCCCAAAGGAAACGTGACCAGCTGTACAGTAGCTGGTCTTTGCACTTCCGAAGTCCTCTGTAGTCCCTGGATTCTGAACAGTCGGAAATTTAAGGTCACGGGGCCTTGAGGACCATCCTGAAGAAGGCTACCCATCCTTAAATACTGGTTGAAGACTCCTGTCTTCTTGGTTGAGCCACTGCTGATCGAGGGATGTTAGCTGAGGCAGCTGGTTTCCTTCGGAGCCTTAAAGGATCAGGTTTTATTTTTGGGATTCTCAGACTCAAAACAAACAAACAAAACCCCCCAAAACAAAACAAGAGTGACCTTGAGGATAAGGAGCCAACCAATCCCTACCTCCAGGTCCTGTCAAGTACAATGTCCCCATTGGGTTTCCCCGAATAGCTGGTTCAATCATTGGCATGTCCTCCTTTTGGATACACAGTTAAACTGTAGGGCGAAGAAGAAAGTTTTCTCTGATAAAGAGACATTTTTGCTTTTATTTCCTGGGATGGATAACCCCCAGCACCCTGCCTTCCCTTTAAAAAAAAAAGAAAAAGGAAAAAAAGCAATGAAAACATCCCAAAGACCGGGTTGTGTAGCTTTGTGGAAGGATAGCCCATTTGCTCCCTCTCACCCTCCATGTCCCATTCTTGGAGAGACTTCGTAGATGGGTGATTTCCCCTGCTCTGGGAATGACAGATCATGGGCCAGAGCAGGGTTGGCCGGATCCTTGTCCTAGATCTCCATAATGAGGGCAGCTTAGTTGGGCCAAAGAGACAAATAAAAACAAACCATAACAGTGATGCTCAATTTGAGTTTGAAGGCTGGGCCCCAAACAGCAAGTGGCTCTCCACCCCCCTGCAGAACGTCTGTCGCTCGTGGCGGGCTTCCTGGTGCTAGCTGTTGTTCTCGGCCGTGAGATATTTGAGGGCAGCAAAGCCGTAGTGGCGGGACATGTCCTGCTGAAACTCTTCCTTCAGGGTTTTGAGACAGATGCGGTATTGCTTGTTGGACCGGAACTTGGTGATGTCGAAGCTGGGGGCGTGAGGCATGTGGATCATGTACGCATTGGGCAGCACGATGAATTCATACTCCTGGAAGCAGACAAGAGCAGACTGAGGCCTGCAGAGTCACCCCGTGATGTATAATGAACACCCAGGCAGACAGCTACTTGACGAAACAAGGGAATGAAGTCGTGAATGACGCCAGTACCAGGGCAGCACCATGGACAGCGTCACCACGCAGATGAGCGGTTAGTTCAAGGTTGTCTCCATGACCCTGGGTGTATTACCTGGCTTCTCTGAGCCTTAGTTTTCTCATCTATAAAGTGAAAGTAATACGACTACCTTGAGACTACTACAGTCTACAGTAGTACAGACACACCTATAGTAGTACTACACACCTATAGTATACAGTCTATATAACTGAACTACGAAGGCAGAATTGAGGAGCTCAAAAAGAAACTTACCGGTCCCACAAATCCCCCTAAATTTACTACCTGGTCCTTTGGAGAAAAGCTCTGCAGACCTCTGGTTTAAACTATTAGGATTCTGTAGGATATTTTTTTTGAGGCAGGTGCTCAATGAGTATTAGCTGAATGAATGAAAGGGTTTCATGATTAAACACCGCCTGAAAATCACTCCTTTAGTTACAGGGTAGAATAGCTGCACCTTATTTGCAAGTTTTGTATTATTTATATGGAATTCCTAGAATGCTTTGTGTCAGTTATATGACTCACAGGCTGAGTGATGAATGGTCATCATTTACTCATCTTCATCACTTGGTTGAATGAGGATGAGGGGGTGAAATGGTTTGTTCCAGGACACTCAGATATGCTGGGGACCTGGCGGAGAACCCAACTCTCATCCAAGGGAGGAGAAAGAAAAATGAATTAGGAATCAACAGAGCTGAGAACAAGTACTGTCACATTCTTACTCTAGGATCCCGAACACATCTTGTTCCTTCTTGAGTCCCTGCCTTCTTATCTCCAAGGCCCTTGCAGCTCTGAGGTTCAGGCCTCCCCTCCCCTCCCCCTGTCCCCCACCCCCACAATACTGGGGACATAACATTCTACTCTTCTCACCTGGGCATCTAATTCCATGATGTGAGCCACCTTGTTCCAGCCAAAGCCCACAAATCTTCGGTCATACTCAGGGCAGTCCCGTCTCACAACAACATACGGCTCGAAATCAGCCTCCCACTCAACCTGGTAAGGCGTGGTGGCAGTCCGCCACTTGGCGAAGTTTGTGGGTGCGTGGCCTTTCGTCCAGACATGGTACCTGGGACACATGGAGAAAAGCCATTGGTGGAGGAGAGGGAAGCAGAGGTTTCCAAATTCTGGTCTGGAGGATGAAGACATATATGCTGACATAGTCCTAGTTGTAGGTTGAATTTTTGTCTCCATTCCTCTCCTTCCCTCCTGCCCCGGCAGAAGCTATGTTCAAGTCCTGACCCCTAGTATCCGTGAATGCAACCTATTTGGAGAGAAGATCTTTGCAGATGTGATCAAGTTAAGAGGAGGTCACAGTGGATGGTTGTGGTCTCTAATCCAAAGTTCTTACAAGAGGAGGAAATTTTGGACACAGAGATATGCAAGAGGAACTCCATGTGAAGATGTGGGCAGAGACAAAGTGAGACACCTACAAGCCAAGGAATGCCAAGGATTGCTGGCAACCACCAGAGTCTAGAAAGAGGCAAGAGAGACATCTGCCCTCGAGCCTTTGGAGGAAGCAAGGAACTACCAACAACACCTTGATTTTGGACTTCTGGTTTGCAGAATGGTGAGGATAAGTTTCAGTCATTTTAAGCCATTCAGTTTGTAGTACTTTGCTATAGCAACGAAAGTAAAAGTCGCTCTGTCGTGTCCGACTCTCTGCGACCACATGGACTATAGAGACCATAGAATTCTCCAGGCCAGAACACTGTAGTGGGTAGCTGTTCCCTTCTCCAGGGGATCTTCCTGACCCAGGAATTGAATCAGGGTCTCCTGCATTGCAGGCGGATTCTTTACCAGTTTAGCTACCAGGGAAGCCCTATAGCAACAGAGACAGCCTCTTACATATTTCTTTAGCATTAGAGTGGTTGAGCAGCTTGACCAAGATCATGTAATAAATGTTGAAATGTATTTTTCCTGAATTCCTAGTTTTTTTTCCCTACCTTTGTGCTCATGTACTCTGTTGTGTCTGATTCTTTGAGCTCCCATGGACCGTAGTCCGCCAGGCTCCCCTGTCCCTGGGATTTTCCAGGCAGGAATGGTGGAGTGGGTTGCCATGTCCTTCTCCAGCAAATCTTCCTGACACAGAGATCAAACCTGTGTCTCCTGCATTGCACACAGATTCTTCACTGCTGCACCACTGGGGAAGCCCCTTGGGTTGGCCAAAAAGTGTGTTCAGGGGATTTCCATAACATCTTAAGGAAAACCGTGAATGAACTTTTTGGCCAATCCAATACATCCTTCACTAATGAAGAGGCTATTGCTATGAAAAGGTACATGACTTTCTGGATTGCTGTCTGTCATTTATTTGGAACTGCAGGCTAGTCTGTAACAGGAGGTGGAAGGTAGAAATCTGGGATAACTTTTGGTGACCCTGCCCTAGTATAGTGTCCTTCCTCTTGAGGCAGGACCTATGAGCATGACATCACTCCTGCAATTATGTTACATTATATGGCAAAAAGGATTTTTGTAGATGCAATTATGGTTACTAATCAGTTGACTTGAGACTACTGGGGTGGGCCTGACCTAATCATATGAACCTTTAGATCTGGGTTTGGAAGAAAGCAAAAAGCCATGTGTGAGCTGCCTATGGGGGTCATGTGGCGAAAAGCCTGTGGGTAAATGGTGACCTCAGTCCTCCAATCACAAGGAAAGGAATCCTGTCAGCAACCAGTGTGCCTGGAGAAGAACCACACGCTCTATAGAGACAACTGCAGCCTCGCCCACACTGATTTCAGCCAAATGAGAACCATAAGCAGAGAATCCAGTCATTCCATGCCTGGACCTCTGACCCTCAGAAAATGACTGTGAGATAATAAATTTGTATTGTTTTGAGCTTCTAAACTTGTGGTAATTTGTTATATAGCAATAGAAATGAATATAACTATGGATGGCACTAGTGGTAAAGAACCCACCTGCCAATGCAGGAGACATAAGAGATGCAGGTTCAATCCCTGGGTCGGGAAGATCCCCTGGAAGAGGAAATGGCACCACACTCCAGTATTCTTGCCTAGAGAATCCCATGGACAGAGGAGCCTGGAAGCCTATGGTCCATAAGGTCACGAAGAGTTGGACATGACTTAGCAACTGAACAACAACAATAATAATGATAATAAGCTCTAGTAAGCACTTAACTCTAAACTGGTTATATTGTACTACCCGTAATTGTAAGTTCTCATAATATATCCAATATCAAGTTACAAACAGCAATAGGTAGATCAGGGATTCATACCTAGGTAGCCTGGTTCAAGGGATAGGACCTTTAATCGGGTTAAGGTCTAAGTTAACTATGCTGAGTTACCTCTTTTTATATGTCACTGTCACCACACTCTCTGGCCTGTATTTAGAACAAGTAGTCAATGGGGGCTATACACTAAGTTGAATGAATGAAAGAGAAATCTAAAAACCTGAGAGGCACCTAAGACAGAAGCCAGTTAGTGGGGCAAGAATATGTCTCTGGATGCTAAAAGAGATGGGGGCTGAGAGCCAGTGAAGCAGCAGATGGGGCCCAAGAAAAAGAAAATTCTAGAAAGAAAAGCTTCAGAAAATGCCCCAAGAAACCTACTGTCACACCAGTGGTCTCTAGAACTTGCTTTCTAAGACCATCAACATTAGCCTCCAAAAAAAACACAAAAAACAAACAGTGATGAGAGACATTTCCTGGGTCCACCTTGTGGGATGCCGCTTAGAAGAAACTCGGGGCACTCTGCGTTGAGCAGAGGTTCTCCAGCTGGCATGGTTATCAGAATGCCCTGGAGGGTTACTTAACTGTCAGATTGCTGTATTCCACTCCCAGAGTTTCTGATCCAGTAGGGCTGGGGTGGGGCTTGAGACTTGGTGCTTCTAACAAGTTCCCAGGGGTTGCTGATGCTACTGGTCCAGGGACCATGCTCAGAACTGCTCTCCTGGAGGACAGGTAGACCTGAGCATGATTTATTAGTTCAGGTGCTGTTGGGAGTAGATTTCAGCTGCTAGGAGGTGTAAGAGTTCATCATTTGGAGGGAAGGTGACAAAGCAGGTTCTTGGAGGGAAGGTCTGTAATTCAGCACTTAGCATGCTGGCTTGCAAGCTCTTGGCCAGAGCAGCAATCTTGGACACAGCAGGCCAACCCCCAGCTCTCAGGCCCTTGGCCTTGGCCTTGAAATGAGTTCTTAAGTAACCTGGGGATCTGGAAGGAAGGCTGCTTTGGAGACTTGCCAGGTGATTAGCCTTTGGGATGACCACCTGGAGTAGGAAATGGCAACCCACTTCTGTACTCTTGCCTGAAAAATCCCATGGACAGAGGAACCTGGAGGACTGCAGTCCATGGGGTCTCAGAGTCGGGCACCACTGAGTGAGCACACACACAGCCACTAGGCTATGGAGTCCAAAGCCTCCACTTCTGCCTGCATTTTCAGATGCTGGTAAGTAAATTCAGGACTTGACTGGTGGTCTGATGGTATTTTGGTTAAGAGCCTAGGCTCTGTGGTTCTTAGACCTGGGCTGAATCCAGGCTCTGTCATGTACTGGCTGTGTGGCTTGGGCTAGTTATGGAGCCTCTCAGAGCCTCAAGTTTCTTTATCTGTAAAACGGGGACAGCATGTCTGCCTCATGGATTTGTTGTGAGGGTTAGATGAGCTGATCCCAGTGCCTAGCTCATGGTTTGTTGTTCAGTTGCTAAGTTGTGTCCAACTCTTTGTGACCCCATAGACTGCAGCACACCAGGCTTCCTTGTCCTTCACTCCACTCCTCAATTCCTTTATCTGTATGAGAGGTGAAAAGGGAGCTCCTCTGAATTGTTGCATGAATAACCTATCTCATAAAGTTATCTTCACAAAATAATGCCTGCTTGAGAAAACTTTCTAGAAACTTCTAGTAACTTAACAGTGGTATACAAACCTAAGTTATTATTAGGATCTTTTCAGCAAAATTCAGATTGTGTAGAAATGTATGTTTTTTGGGGGCTTCCCAGGTAGTGCTGGTGGTAAGGAACCCACCTGCCAGTGTAGGAGACATAAGAAGCGTGGGTTCGATCCCTGGGTTGGGAAGATCCCCTGGAGGAGGACATGGCAAAGGACTCCAGTACTTTTTCCTGGAGAATTCCCACGGACAGAGGAGCCTGGCAGGCTACAGTCCATATGGTTGTGAAGAGTTGGCTACGACTAAAGTGACTGAGCACACACGTGGGTTTTTTTGTTGTTTTAGTTCAAAGGAAGTGTTTATACTGTTTAAAAGGGAGGCCTTTCTTTAAAATGGGAGCAGAGGGCAGGCACGGCTCTCTCTTACAATCAGGAGACCGAGCAGGATTCCTGCTCACCCAGGGGAGCTCCCCTTAATGGTGCCGTGTGTCCCTGGGGACAGAAGCCATCTGCATCTGTGCCACTGTGCACATTCCCTGGCCCTTTGGACAGGGGGACGGGTAGCTCCTCTGCTATGTTTCTGCGGGACTGAGGGGTCTAGGAAGCCAGGGAAATGAGGGATTTGTTTGAACCTGTCACTCGGGCAACAGGACAGACAGCTGCCACACTGCTGTATCCAATCTTGGAGTCACCTGGACGCCTTTAGCTGTTGAAGCTACTTCTGCTGCCCATCCCAGGCCTGAGGACCTCAGAGAACAGACTGCTCACAAGAAAAGAAAACGAGAGGTGGCCACCGTGGCCCTAATGTGACGAAACCCACTGATCAAACGAGTGAATAGGCGAGCAAACCAAGAGGAGAAGTCAGTCAGCAGACAGGGGCAGAATATCAACTGATTAAAGTGGAAAAGAAAGAAGCTGACACCCTACCCTCCTTCCTGTCCCTTCCATCTGGGTACACAGGGCGAACTCTCTCTCTCACTGGTAAGTCATGTCCGACTCTTTCCTGACCCCATGGACTGTAGCCTGCCAGGGTCCTCTGTCCATGGGATTTCCCAGGCAAGAATACTGGAGTGGGTTACCATTTCCTCCTCCAGGGCATCTTCCCACCGAGGGATGGAACCCAGGTCTCAGGCACTGGCAGGTGATTCTTTACCACTGAGCCACCAGCAAAGCCCTACAGGTCAGTCACACCAAAAGCGCACGGCACGTGGGAAGAGAAAGTTATTCCAAGCACACAGTTTGGGGCCAGCGGTGCTGCTTTGGCCTGAAAATGGTCTAATGCCAGTGACAACCATCGGGGCCAGCAACTCCTCTAGCTCCTGGTTTCCCAGGAGCGACAAGGACTTCGGGCTCCCCCTCTCCCAGGGGGTGGCAGTGAGGGCCACTCACCTGAACGTGAAGAGGGTCCCCATGTCTAGCATCGACAGCAGCTCTGCCTTCGACTTGGGGAAGGAGAGCCTGCCAACCTGGGCATCTGTGGTCCCATCTCTGGGACTCTTCACTCCTTCAGATGCTAAGCCTTCAAACTCACCTGACAGACCCCACAGAGTCAGCACCCAACATGCCAGAGCCCTGGACCCCGCCATCCTCTCCCTCACTTCTGCCTTCTGCACCTCTGAGACCTAGCTCCTGTCTTCTGGATTTGCCTGCCTGGGGCCGGCTCTGAGGCCATCATTTGAAAGAGAGAAAGGTCACAGCGCATGAGACTGGTAATGAACCACAGATAGGACTTAAAAGCCTGGCTCTTCACTTTAGGTGTCTTGCCATATTTTACAAGTAATTCAGTTTCTCATGACCTCAGGTTCCTCTTCAAAATGGGGCAATAATATCTCCCTGCTGAGCTGCTGTGGAAACTCGACAAGGTACCAGAAATACCAGTACTGTCAGGCATACCGGGCACATGGCGAAGAGTCCCTATTATACTGCAGTGCTGTCCTATTCCCAGGCATCTCTTTGGCCACGGCTGTGATACTTCAAGCTGGCTTCCTGCTCAGATTACTGACCCTCGGGGCTCAGGCCAGCCTGAGGTGCTCGTGATCTCTGAGACAGAGAAAGAAGTCTCTCTTGGAGTAACACGAGGTATTTTGCAAAAATGCTGCAAGAAGCAGTCCTCTAGTGCAATACAACTGCTTCTTACATAAAGTAACTTTATGCAATAGACCTCTGAGCCTGTGTGTGCAGGACAGGTTGGTCTGCAAGGAGCAGTCACACTGTAAGGAAGTAACTTGTGAGCCCAGACTAGCATGGGACACGAACAGAGAAGCAATCCAAAAAAGAAGAGCAGCAGGGTTTGGTAGCCACAAATGAGGGGGAATCTGGACCAGGTCAAGATAAGGAGGGGTTTCTCAGAACCACTCTTGGTGAAGGGGTCTCACCAGCTCCCAGTGCAAGAGGGTGGTTGAGATGGCCTGGGAGTTGACATGAGAATTATTCAAGTATCATTTGCAGTTCACTCCATAATTCTGCTTCAGTTAACTATATACCAAATGATATATGACCCTCACATCACTATTTCAAGACAGATTTGTAAAGGATGACACCAAGATAGAATTTGGTGAGCTACCCTTGGCCGGTTAGAGGATCAGAGGTCTGAGTTAGCTTGTTCTGGCCTGCATTCCTCGTCTTTCTCTAAGCAATGCCTTTATACAAACTCTTAAGGTTCCCTGGCCTGTGGCCAGACATTCTTTTTGATATCAACCTTACACTGGACATTGGCATCCCGGGGGCTTGTTACCTTTCCTCCAGGAAAGGTACGTTGTTGATGATGAATTGCTAAGTTGTGTCTGACGCTTTGTGACCCCATAGGCTGTAGCACACCAGGCTCCTCTGTCCATGGAATTTCCCAGGCAAGAATACTGGAGTGAGTTGCCATTCCCTTCTTCAGGGGATCTTCCCTACCCAGGAATCGAATGCTCATCCCTTGCTTGGCAGATGGATTCTTTACCACTGAGCAACCTGGGAAAGGCATGCATCTTATTTATTGACATGGGTGTTAGGGATGGGACATATGGGTCTAAAGAATATCCTTGGATCAAAATGGCAAAGCCCCTGGAGGGAGGGAAGATATCCCAGCACTGCTGGGTGGTTGCTATTCCTTCAACAGTCACCATGCATTTACTCTGCTTGGGAATACAGAACACCACCTCCAAAGTCTCTTCCTGCCTGATGCTGACGTTCTCATCTAAAATGTTTCAGGATGCTAAAAGCCCAAGGACAAGGATCGCTAAACTAGGACTCAAGATTGCATTTGCAGCTAATTTTGTGAAGATATGGTTGCTGTGGAAATGGAGTGGGAGGCTGGGAGGGCTGAATGACAAAGGGAATGGCGAAGTGTACACACACACACACCAGTTACAGAGATCTATGAATGTGGGTATCTCTATATAAACCTCACATAGTTGTTACAATCAAGGTTATTATAGAACCTACTTCTTTAAAAATTAAAAAAAAAATTTTATTTATTTGACTGTGCCGGGTCTTAGTTGAGGCATGTAGGATCTTTGATCTTTGTTGCTGCGTGTGAGATCTAGTTCCCTGACCAGAGATCGAACCCAGACTCCCAGCACTGGGGGCATGGAGCTTTAGCCACGGGGCCACCAGGGAAATCTCTAGAAGCCACTTCTTGGACTAGAGGATAATTCCCCTTCTCATGGCCCCTGTACACAGGGGCAGCCCTGAGCCGTGCTGCCCCACGTGAAGCCCTGACCAGGTGTTCACGGGCAGACACTAAGGCTGAGCAAATCAGTTTCTCACTCTTGGAAATCTGAACAGATGCAGAGGCTGGAGACCACAGAGCTCACTTGTGCACCAGGCAGCACTCCAGAGGTTTCTGAATTTCTGCTGCACAGGGGCCCAGAGCTGCCATGGGTTACTTATGGTCTCAAGTACTAGTTTTCTGAATCCTACTTTGATTCCATAAGATAAACCACTCAGCAATTATGCTTCCCCTTTGATTTCTTTTCATTTTAATTAAGCGTCCAGCATTGGTTTCTGTTGCTTGCGACCAAACAACCAATACACTGCAAGGTCCAGAGTAAGCAGACCCAGTCACCAGCATGCCGCCCAAAACTGAGTCCTAAGAAACCTTATTTCCCTCTGCATAGAGAGCATGAGATTCTAGAGTGTTCTGTAAATTCCATTTAATCTCGCTGAAACACGAAGTGCCACGGAGACGGATTTGTCACTAGATAGGTTCGTTTCAACCTCAGTTCAAGGAGGCTTTGATATCGATGTCCTGAATGGTTCTTATTATGAAGTTGTTTCAGCAGCAAAGTGGTTTCAGGGCACCGACTCTGAGAACATCTGTTCCCTAAGCTGGTAACGGCAGCCTGGGCTTTCCTGCACTAGTGTGTCCAGCCAGCACCTCCCACCTTGGCTGGCCTGCTGACCACCTTGAGTGGCATGGTCTACGGCCACTCTTACTAGAAAGTGAGTCCAGGAGGGGACAGAGTGTCTCCAGGGCAGGTTCTTCCAGGAGCATGGTGGATGCTTCCAGGAGGGAGGATGGTGAAGTGGGAAGGCTGGCCCAGGGGCCAAGAGACCTGCGTTCTGGAGCCAGCTCTGACAGGCTGAACGGCTCTGGAGCCTGTCATTCATCTCTCTGAGACTAGTTAATCTAGAGTATTCAAACTGATGATTTTTTAAAAACAATATTTTTACTTATTTGGCTTCACCCGGTCTTAGTTGTGGCATGCACAGGCTCTCTGATTTTCTTGTGGCACGTGGAATCTTTAGTTGCAGCATGTGGGATTTAGTTCCCTGACCAGGTATCGGACCCGGACCCCCTGCACTGGGAGCATGGAGTCCTAGCCACTGGACCACCAAGGGGAGCCCCTCAGCTGAAGATTCTGGAAGGCAGTCTGGTATGGTAGTAACTAGGCAACTTGGTTTCTGGCCCTGACTCCATCACTCCTCTTGGGCAAGTCACCTGGACCCTTCTGAGTCTCAGGGTTCATGCATATGTAAAACATTCTGATGGGAAAAGGTACGCGTCGCATACAGAAATGCTTGGTGCAGTGTCTGGCACGTACTAGGCACTGACTACTTGATGGTGGCCGCTCCTGATGGTTTGTTTATGTGTCAATTAGGCTAGGCTGTGGTGCCCAGCTGGTTGGTCAAATACTCCTCCAGATGTTGCTGTGAAGGTATCTCATGGATGTGATTAACATTTAGGATCAAGTAAAAACCCTTACCCTTGATAATGTGGGTGGGCCTTGTCCCATCAGTTGAAGGCCTTAAGTAAAGCAAAAATTTAGCATTACTGGGAAAGAAGGTATTCTACCCCAAAACTGTAACACAGAAATCCTGCCTGTGTGTCCAGCCTGCTGGTCTGCTCTATGAATTTCATACTTGCCACCATCATAGTTCCTTAAAGTCACTATCTAGCCATCTAATCATCCTATGGTTCTGTTTCTCTAAAAAATCCTGACTAGCAAAGTTGCCCTTGTCCACGACCCCTTCGAAAATATTCACAAGCCTACTAGAATGTTTCAGGCATGCAGAACCCTAGGAGGCACCTTAGTTATCTACAGCAGTAATTCAGAATCCTGCTGGTGTAACAGAGCACCCGGTAAACACAGTGACTTGGAAGCAGCCAGCACCAGATTCAGGTCTTGCCTGTCACCCTCCTGTGACCTTGGGGACCTTGTAGTCACAGCCTTTCCATCTGTAAAATGGACATGATGTTCTTATCAATCCGAACTGCTGTGAGGATGAAGTGAAACCATCGCTCTAGAGACACTCTAGAATAACTAAGGAAGCTTCCTGGTGCTTATAATGACCAAACTCCAAGACTGATCCTGATAGTTGACTGTGTATACCACCCCCCATACCCACACCCCTTCTCTTTATAACCCCATCCTCCATCCTAGAGGCAGGCCTCTGTCATCAGGAAAACAGTCCAGGTTTCTGACACGAGGAGATGATGGGAAAGAGTCTCAGAGAAATAAGAAACAGGGATACATTGTGGGTTCTAATGCAGTAAAGATGAGGGCTCTGAGGCTGGGGGCTCAGGTTTGCATCCCAGCTGATTACTTAATGTCTTTGACCTGTGGTTTCCCTCTGTAAGATGGGGATGGTGATCCCAACGTTGATCTTGGAGGGTGCTGGTGAGGACTGAATGGGTTGCTATGCATCGAGTGCTCAGCCTGTGCCTGGCAGATGACAAGCTGTGGTGTGCCCTGCTCATCAGCATGGGCAGCTGCCCCTCTCTTTATGCTGGCCTGCCCACAGCCTGGCACCCACCCTGGATCTTCCCATTTTGTTGTCACTGGTTCATTCCCAGCTCGTTGCACCCTGTACCAGGCGCTGCTGAAACACCTGGGCTATGCTGGTAAACGGAACAGGCAGACATCCCTGCCCTCGTGGAAATGACATTTTGTGGTCGGCGGAAAGACGAGAAGAGCAAAGAGCGAACAGCATGGTGTGCTGGAAAGTGAGAACTGCTGAGAGAGAACGGGGCTGGGTGAGGGATGTTAGGAATGCCAGAGGTGGGGAATGGATTGCGATTTTAAATAAGGTGATCCAGGCAGG